ATATATATATATATATATATATATATATATATATATATATATATATATATTATACTGAGATATATATATATATATATATAGCGATATCAGTTGTTAATGCTTACAGATTTTAAAGAGTACCCCAACAATGACTGAAGCCACAAAAATTAAAGGGTCTATTAAATAGCATAACAAATTTTCAGCTGATAAAGTTTTGGTGGCCGAAAATTCGGTGCATCTCTAATATCAACACACTTCTAGATTCCCATTGTTGCACATTTCTGCTGAGTGATTTGCTCTTAGACGATTATAGTGTCAACATAATCACAATTCAACATAATATCGTTTATCAGCCAAGCCCTAATCATTAAATATTAAAGTTTGTGCTAATAAAGTGGCATAGTTTTAATGTTTTGCCATGGAACAGCCGCTATAAAATAATTGAGCTTGTTATGTCAATAATAATAAAATAAAAACAGACTCAAATAGCACTGAATAACAGTCTTGTAACTCACAGTATGTCTGTCTCAGGGGTCTTGCACCTTTTCCAACTTCAAATTTCAGCACTTTTCAAGCACTAAAGGTGCATTTTAATGCTTTCCCAGCACTTAACCACCACGGTAAATTATGTTGATTTATGCTGTTTGTACTTTTTCACATTTAAATCCATTGTGCTATTTAATAAAAACAATGCTGAATACTTTGGAACATGGATTTATTGGGATAGTTCACCCAAAAATGGTACAAATAATAACAATAATAATTTTAAAAAGTTCAGTTATTGGATATCTTTTTAAGTTTTGCTCTCTTTCTTACAAAGACCGTTGTTGCTATAAGATGACGTTTGCAAATAATAAGTTACATGTCAACTGTTATAAACGATTTCTAAGTGCTGTGTTGGGTGTTTTTAGGTAAAAAAGTCTGCGTGAATGTCTCCGAAATATGCATATTCGGTGAAAATTTTGCAATGGAAACTGGTCGCACACCAACAATTTTATGCACAGATGCTCCCAAATATATTTTGAGCTTGCATAGATAAGAGTTTGGGCGCATATGCAGGTGAAACAGCCACAATTTCGAGCCCTGCAATTTCCAATTCAAGCACTTTTTTTTTACCTTGAGAACACTATAATAAAAATTAAGCATTTTCCAGGATTTCAAGCACCCATGCGAGCCTTGAACCTGACTCTATTCACAAGCAGCTGCTATTTTACTCAGCACAGAACAAAAAAAAGTGTGTTTTGTTGGAGTAAATGATGAGTTGTCTTTGGGTGAACAGGAAACGCACACAGGCGGATCGAAAACTGGAGTTTGGTTGAACGCAGGTCATTTATCAGGGAAACAACAGCAGCTTGATTTGTTTTCGTGTCAGTTTGTCTTCCTACCGCAGTAATTATTGTGTCCTGTTTAGTTTGCTGAAGGACAGAATCATCCCTCGAGTGTCTTTCCTCATGCCTGCCCTTAAACCGCACAAGTTCTCTCGAAATCATGGTGGAAGAAGCAGCCGTCTTCCTCAGCAACATCAAGCAGCGTTGCCATTTGCTCCAGTAATGACCAGAGCGGCACACACACACACACCAAAGCCATGAAAATGTACACTTTTCATTAATAATTCAGCGTCTGCCAGCACTCTTGGCGTGGATGGAGTGGTCTGAGGTGCTTTTCCGCAAGTTTAAAGACTTCGAGTCATTACGACTAATGTAACATCATCAAGTTCAGTTCATGCAAATGACGTTTGGCAGCGTCGCTTTCCAATAATTCCAAAACAAAAGTTTCTGCCAGAATATAATAGTGCACTGCCAAAGACGGTCTGATGTTCTGCTGCAGAACTCTAAATCATCATGAAGTCCGCGTGAAGCAGAAGTTGCTGAGACTTTTATTTCAGTATGTTGATGTACTTCCAGCTGAGGTGGAATATTGAGTTGGGGCCGGGGCTTTCTATTTGCGCATCATTCCCTCATAGTAAACTAAATGGAAATAGTATAGGTCTGCACAATATATGGTTTCAGCATTGATAAAGCAATGTGCCCATATGCAATAGTCACATCACAAAGATATGCAATGTTGAGTCTTGATTATAGCTGACCAGGAGCTACATAACTGTATTTAATCAGTGTATTTATATGAAATTTATAGAATTTATGCAATAAAATAGGTTTTTGTCTTGTTTCCAGTCCAAATATCTACATTTCAAAGGGAAAGCAAGATTATTTTGCTAGGGCAGATATTTGGACTAGAACTTAGGGTTGTCACGAAACTGCAATTCGATGGCAATCGATACTGAAATTTTAAAAAACGTCCATTTCCCGCTACCATTTGAGCGCGTTCTTAAACAGCTGATTGGCTATTGTGTTCAAATGCTCAACAGTAATGACTGTGATCGGACGTAAAGGACATCAGTTCACCGAACTCACTGCTGTTTACTGAGTGGAACCACAGATGCAGGAACATTGGAGCATTTTAAAGTCACGTCGATCAGCTGGTTTGTCTATAAACTGACATATGAGCGATCCGCTGATGAATCATGGTTTGCATTTTTCAGTTTGGCTTTTCATTTTAATATTGGCAGTCGTGACACGGAAGAGGAGTCGATATTAAATGTTAAACCGGCAAAATTAGCCGTTTTTTCGATTTTCGTTTTAAAATTCAAAAACAAAAAACGCATTGAAGTTCAATTTTCATTTTTTAACTTTAAAACGAAAATAAAATTAAAAAAACGACTCGTTCTTTGTTTTTTAATATCTGTTTCGAAAATGAATATCGGATGACCAAAAGATACACTGACCTTAACCAAGGTATCTCCCGCCCAATCCATATGCGTTTGCAAACAAAAAAAAGGAAAATGCTCGTAAAGAGCGTGATGCGCACAGAAATCCACGCATTCTCAATTAAGTTCTCTTTAACCTAATTCTACCTAAATTGTAGAAAATCTTTAAAATGACAGGACTTAATCAAGCCTTTTTCATCTGGAGAATTACAGTTATTAATAGCTCAGTCCTTATTAATGACCAGTTTATAAAATACATCATTGACAGATTTTCTGAAGAATAAAAAGAATGTGCAATAACTCTAATATTTTCAGCTTAACATCGCGTGCGTCAAAGATGTGTTCATTGATGTAAGCCTGCTAACTGATCAAATGACAGAAAAAGTAAACTTAGTTTATACATATAATTAAATAATAATAATAGTTAAAAGCCTGGGTGCTAGTCCACAGAGGGCTCTTATTTTGAGGGCTACGTCACGAGCTCAGATTTGGTTGACCAATCAAAGGATAGTTGGCGTTTTAGCACCGCCTACATGTGTATAATGAATTTTGAAGTTATCCATTTTCCTATCCTAAATTTAAAAAAACGAAAATCCAGCCAAAAACTCGTTTTTTTTTTTCGTTTCTTGTGAGCAAATAAAAAAACGTCAGTTCTCTTAATTTTCCTTTATTTGTTTGAAAACAAATATGGATTGAACGGAAGATACCCTGATTGACCTAACATGCACTCCTGTAGTCTTGCGTTGTTATATTTCTCTACTGTTTTTAATCTGTACCTCTATCAATTAGATTTAGTTAATAACGTTTGTTAAGATATACCACTATTATTAACTAAAAAAAAGCATTTAACCTTCGATAAAAGACATGATGGCCCTTTTGAACTGTAACTGTGGTCCCCTGGTTTATGCAATAGTGTTGCGTGGATTTAGCATCTCTGGGTTTGAATCCCAGCAAACGCAAGATCTCTCATATGCTAATGCAACATAAATCTTAAATACAATGTTGGTCGTTTTATGTGAAAGCGTGCCAAATATGCATTACTATCATTGAATTCAGAGAACCTGGGATGAAGTCTAAGATGCATGTACTACATTTATGATGATTTAGACATTTTTGGAGCCTGAAATATTCAATTTCTGTTAAATTATAGAGTTTTACAAGTAACTAATGGGAGAATTACCTTACAGCGAATGACGAACAGTAAATGTCAAACCCAAACCACACTGACAGCATTGATAATTTCTCAATCTCTTTGGCTTTTCAGTGAAGTGGATAGCAAGAGAAGTGCATATGAACGCCAATTGAGCTGTATATTGAGCTTGATAAACAATCTGATTGCCAACATTCAATCAAATGAAACCCCTTTTAAATCAATAGTGGTAGAAGTTTACTATGAAGTTGACATTAGCATGGTAAAATGATGGTATTACAATTGACATGTTATTAAAATTTCTCTAGCACAATATTGATACTGTACACCAATGTATTCCCAAAAATACCATGGTACTCTCGTACTACATGTCCTAAATCATAGTAATAGTCTGGTGTATTGTTTTAATTATTGTTCTGTCATACTTGAGTGCCATAATAAACGAATATAGACATTATAAAGCAACTCTAAAGAAATTAATCAAGGTGTTTTTTCTAATATTGTTTTGTGAGATGTGTATGAATATTGTCTTTCTGTTCAACACACACGTTGTTTAGCCGCTTTAGCTTTTGTAAGCACGAGTTCACAACACACACACACACGACCAGCAGATCAAACCGTCACATAAATCAAGCCAAACAGATCAATCACAATCCTCTCGTCAATAAAAACACAAATGTCACCTCTGTCGCTGTCAAAGACGATTATTATCCCGCTCGGAAACACTCGAGCTGCGCTAGCAGAGCTAACGGCGGATATGACAAAGAGCGTTAGCATTAGCATCCAGACTGAGGTGCAAAACACACTCACCTAATACAACACAGACAATCGTAAATGTTTAGACACCTCAAATATTGACAACAGATTCAAAGCAAACCGCGTTAACAAGCGAAACACACAGAACATGTACACGTTAGCACTCATTTCAATAAACACAAGTGACACAAATCACAGTCTTGAGGCGCTATAATGACATCTCAGGCATGCAAACACGAAATAAAGCCATGAGGTCAACGCAGTGCAAATCCTATTGGCTAAAAGCACAAAACAATAATTGAAATGAGCATTCCTGCGCAAAACACGAGATATAAAATGCACACTTACCCCCCGGAGGATCCAGCCCGATCTACAAGCATCCCATAGATCCAAAAGACACTAAAACAACCCTCCAAGGAAATGTGCTGGGCTTACACACACATCCACACACACGCAGACCCATGCACACACACATTCACACACACTGGAGATCCACAGCCAGGCCGGTTGCATGAGAACAGTTCAGATCTACTCCATATCCAGCGACAAAAGCGGCTGGGAAAACCACATTTCGCCTCGGGTTTCGATCCGGGGTGTTGAAATACAGCTAGTCCTTGATTTTCAGACTGATAGATTCCCAGAAAGCGACGTTTTTAGGTCCAAACACACGCAGAAAAGCGAGCTGCAGGGGAACAGTGCTTTGCTTTGCCTCCACTAGAGCTCTAATGGCTCTTTACGCTTGTTTGCAGCTCTCGCTGCGAGACATTGAAGCAACGCAACTCAACATGAGCGCATGCGCAGTACGGACACAAGGATCCAGATGGAGCGGAGTTTCTGGAGGAAAACACGGAGGTGGAGTTCTGCGGTCTAGATTGGGACACGCGGGTGGGAGTTTGTTTGAGTCTAGGATTATTTATTAAGTCACATACAAATACTTCAGAACTTTAAAAAAGTGTTACATTTATTTTGAAACATTTATTTATTTATAAAAATGATTAAAACTGTAGTTCATTAAAATAAAATTAATAAATTCACCAAAAAAATGTTTTATGGTTTTAAATCTATTATACAAAATTAAACTATAGTTATGTTAAACGAATATTAATGAATATTCACACAAAATACTTCAGAAAATAAAAGGTCTTGTATTTATTTTAAACATTGATTAAAACTGTTGTTAAATTAAAATAAATTCATCAATTCACAACATATTTTAAAATATTTTTATTTAGTTGACAAAATAAAACAATAGTTAAATTAAAAGTATTTATCAAATCACACTAAAATACTTCAAAAATAAAAAGATGTTACATTTACTTTTAAACATTTATTTATAAAAATAATTTAAAATTTAGTTAAATGAAATTAAACTATTCATCAATTCATACAAATGCAAAAAAATGTATTGAATGAATTTAAAAATATTAATATTTTATACAAAATTCAACTAGTTAAATGAAAAATATTCATCAAATCACTAAAATACTTCAGAAAAATACAAAAACTAAAAAAATACCAAATATGTAACTATTTTAAATACTCATCAAATTACAAAAAAAGGTACAGAAAAAAACATTTATTTTACATTATTTGTTTATTATTTTTATTACAATAGCTAATAAAATAAAACAAAGAATAACGTATTATTTAACCGATCCAACACACACAAACACACACACACACACACACACACACACACACACACACACACACACACACACACACACACACACACACACACACACACACACACACACAAACAAACAAACAAACAAACACAACCTCATGCAACAATAATGAAGCTGGTGAGTTTCAATTGGTTTATTTCTTTATTAACAAAATAGCTTAAAACTATTTCAATAAAACGAATTAAAGTGTTTTAATAAAAAACTGATTTAAAAATCTGTATTTATGTAAAATACAAAACACCAAATAAAGCTATATAGTAAATTGCATTTATAATGGCATAATAATTTGAATGGCATAATAAATTGCTACTCTGTTTTTCATCATCCCAAGGTTTCCATAATCTTGGACCAGGCCGTATCCTGAGCAGCTGCTGTGGTGGTCGTGGAGGAGTGCAGAGCATGAGACTGATTCCTGAAAGACCCCAGTGACAAACGAGTCCTCTCATTGATCCTAAATAGAGGAGAAATAGTCGTGACCAAATTCGTTCTTTCGTTTTGAAAAGAAATTTTAAAGCTACATCACCGTGATTAGATCCTTGAGCGTATTCCAGAGTGTAGACCGGATGTCTGTGCTGGCAAGTACAACGTGACGCGTTTGTGTGTGCAGCATTAAGTCATGAGAAAGACTTGGTTAGAACCAATCAGCGCACTCTATTGTGTATGAAGTGCAACTTCATTAATATGCATGATCGCTTCCAAGACTGTTTGTACCTGTACAGTGTTCAAACAGCAGAGAGACGACATGTTGCGTTGCCAAAACAAGTGGAAGAACAAGAATTGCTTGGAGAAACGGGTCATCAGTGTTGTGTTTATAAAAGAGCTGCAATGAAGGTTTTGTTTTATTTCCTGCTATGAGAGCGCAGCTGGAATCACGTGTGGACACGTGAAGGGACTCACTGGTGATCAAAACCAGTTTCAAGAGTTCACCCTTAGCTGATGATTGATTATAAAGCGTGTTTGGCATGCTGTCCCGGAAGAGAGCTCTGAGCTCATCAGATCCTCGAGCCCAGGGCTCCCCCCATTGCAGGACGAGAGGGGAGTCCGAGTTCAGGTAGGTCTCGAGAACTCCCCTGCTTGATGATGGTAGATGTAGATTATGAATGCTATAGTGTAAATACTGGATTCAATGCTTGTCTATGATGTCAATATAGTTTTGTAAATTTACTTGTGTCACATGTTTTTGGTCTGTGGGAGGAAACTGGAGAGTCAAGGAAAAACCCACACAAGCACGGGGAGAACATACAAACTCCACACAGAAATGCCGACTTGGCCAGGTAAGATCTGAGCCAGTGACATTCCTGCTGTCAGGCAATGACGCTAACTATTAGGCCTCCGTGCTGCCCTGACAAGGAAATGGGAGGAGTAGGGGTGGAAGGAGGGATTCTTCAAGACGAAGATGACTAAGGTAAGATACTCTTGTTATTTAGGGCCTACTCACACTATGCCATCCGTACCGTGCCCAGGCCCGTTTCCCGGATCGTTTGAGAAGTGTGAGTGCGCTGAATCGCGCTCAAGCACGGTTCACTTGGCCGGCCCTGGCCCGGTTGGAAGAGGTGTGCCTGAGCGCGGTACACTTGGGCTTTGGCGCGGTATGCTTGTGTGTGAGCGCGAAACGCGCCAAAGCCCGAAACCGAAAGCGAGACGTGACTTTTAAGGGGCTGTTTCATATGGATTTATTAATCATTCTTACTGTTCAGTGATCGCAAACTGCCGTAGTTTATTAAAGACGCAAACTCCTCACAGCACGCCAGCTGCGCGCCTTCAGCAGACCTCCTCATTCCTGCAGCACGAGAGCTTTGATTGTTTATGAGCGCCAAAAGTGGCGGATCTGTTCGGTAAAATATCTGACTGCGTGTCACCGCATCCCTAAGGACTGTTTGGCGAAATATTTGACTGCATGTCACTGCATAACAAACGACTGAAACGATATAACTAGAGAACTCTCCACTGTGCTGCTGAGTGAGAGAGCGTATGGCAAGCCGTTTTAACATTTAAACCTTGTTCTGACTATCCATAAATATATTTAGAGATATAATTATATATTTTGACATAATTATATATTTTGACAAGTCATTATTATAATTCGACTTGTCAGAATGACAATTAGAGATATCTGCAATTACAATTGTACTAGTACGAAATTGGAGATATCTGCAAATATATTATGACTAGTCATATTCCTCCATTGACTTCCATTGAAAAATATTTGCAGATATCTCTGAGTTTTGACTCGTCAAAAATCCAATTCAAGATATCTACAACTGTAATTCGACTATTAGTAAATTAATTAGAGATATCTTCAAATATATTTGTAAATATCTCTAAATATTACGAATTAAAGACATCTCCAAATGTATGACTAGTAAAAACTCATTTAGAGATATCTCTAATTACAATTGTGACTAGTCAAAACTCATTTAGAGATATCTGCAAATATTTTTCAATGGAAGTCAATAGAGGAATATGACTAGTCATAATATATTTGCAAATATCTCCAATCTGATTTCGTACTAGTACAATTGTAATTGCAGATATCTCTAATTGTTATTCTGACTAGTCGAATTATAATTATGACTAGTCAAAATATAATTAGAGATATCTCAAAATATATTTATGGAGTCAGAACAAAGATTTAAATGCTAAAAAGGCTTGCCATAGAGAGCGCTTCTGAACAGCGCAGCAGCGATGACGTAAGCGTGCCGAGGCCCGATATGGTGTGAGCGCGGGCCGTCGGGGGTGACGGGAGGGGGGACAAGCGTGCTTTGGCCCGGTTCGAGGCAACTGTACCTAGTGTGAGTACGGCCTTAGAGTGATTTAGGAATTGTCTGATTGGTAAATCGTGCGTTAGCTAATGAGGACTAGCTGCTATCAATTGTAAGCATGTGCTCCTCACGAAATTTGTTTATAAATCAACTTCACTTAAATCAGGCTTGGAAATCGGGCGCCAAATTGTCTGGTCATTGAACTGGCCCGAGGGCTTATACCGTCAGGAAAACAGAGCGCCAATTGATTTTGACTGTTTTGACCAATACTTTGGACGCATGTGTTCAGGTACCCGTCACCCAACTAGGCAAACAATTTAATAATCTAACAATGGGGTTTTACTGGATTTTCAGCGGGAACCCACGTACGAGACTTTTGAATGACTCCCGGTGCATGCGTTAGTCATATGGGACATCCTGCCACATGTACACATTAGAGACAAAGAGATCTCTGGAAATTAATGCACACGAATGAAAGACAATTTATTAAAAATGTTACAACTCAAGGCTGATTTATACTTCTGCGTCAAGCGCATGTGTATGCTACAGCGTGGACGCACAGCCCTCGCCGTGGCACGCACATCAAAAAATGTAACTACACATCATGATGCGTAGCACAAGCTCTGTGATTGGTTGGCTTGGTAGCGCTATTGAGTGTGTGCGGGACCGAGCGCTGCGCGAGGGCTTATACCCTCCTGCATCCAATATCTGGTTTGTCATGGGGGATATGCAGGAAACGTTCCTGAATGAAAGTGAAAGTGCCAAACTACAGTTAAAGTCCACAAATTAATCATTTGGCAAATCGTTCAATTACTGATGTCCATGTAAACACAGTCCCTGTCCTTCTCCTCTGTGTTTGTTTAGCCTCTGTGTAAATCAGTGCATGCACATACTGAAACTCCCCTTTTCATGCAAACCCTTCCCTGACACTCCCATCTAAACAGAGCTGGACTCACCCACTTTCCTGAATTTTTTTCCAAACTAGAGGTGTGATAACACCCTAGCTGTTTCTCAATATGTGTTCTTGTCTGTACTTGTGTTCTTGTTTCCTCGTGAAATGTCATGAACCGTCGCCGAAGTACTGCTCCAATTCAAAGTTCACATCTTCCCAATGTAATGGATGCCAGCCAGTAGCTGCTGCGCAAGTAAACCTCACTCCTCCTCCAGAATTAAGTGCTGGAGTAAGACAGAAAGAGTGTTTCTGCGTGTGGTTTGTCATGTCCACTCACCTGCGTGAGGCACTCTCAGATTTGATCATGTTTTCATTAGTGTTTTGTTTACTGTGCTCAGTCATTCTGCATCTCCGTCATGGATAATCTGGCTGTGCATC